CAGTGCATTAGGGTTCCCATTTCTCCATAGCCTCGCCAACATTTGTTCATTTTGTCTTGCTAATTATAGCCACTCTTACAGGTGTGAGGTGATATCTCACTGTTGTTTTGATTTGCATTTCCCTAATAAGTAGTGATGTTGAACATCATTTCACATGTTTGTTGGCCATCTGTATATCTTCTTTGGAATAATGCCTGTTCATAACCTCTGCCCATTTTTTATTGGGTTTGTTTTTTTGTTGTTGTTGAGTTGTGTGGGTTCTTTATATAGTTTGGAGATCAACCTCTTGTCGGATAAGTGATTTGCAAATATTTTCTCTCAGTTGGTGGGTTGTCTTTTCATTTTATTCATGGTTTCCGTTGCTTTGCAGAGGCTTTTTGGTCTGATGTAGTCCCGTTTGTTAACTTTTTCTTTTGTTTCCCTTGCCTGGTCAGACATGATATTTGAAAAGATTCTGCTCAGATCAATGTCAAATAGTGTGCTGCCTATATTTTCTTCTAGCACTTTTATAGTTTCAGGTCTTACATTCAAGTCTTTAATGCATTTTGTGTTAATTTTTGTTTATGGAGCAAGATAATGGTCTACTTTCATTCTTTTGCTTGTGGCTGTCCTGTTTTCCCAACACCATTTATTCAAGAGACTTTCCTTTGTCCATGGTATGTTCTTGGCTACTTTGTCAAAGATTAACTGCCTGTAGATGTGTGATTTTATTTCTGTGCTTTCAATTTTGTTCCATTGATCTGTGTGTCTGTTTTTGTGCCAGTACCATGCTGTTTTGGTTACTACAGCTTTGTAGTATATTTTGAAGTCAAATATTGTGATGCCTCCAGCTTTGTTCTTTTTTCTCAGGATTGCTTTGGCTATTTGGGGTCTTTTGTTGTTCCTTATATTTTAGGATTCTATGTTCTATTTCCGTGAAGAATGTCATTGGGATTCTGATGGAGATTGCATTGAATCTGTAGATTGCTTTAGGTGGTATGGACATTTTAACTACTTTGATTCTTCTGACCCATGTGCACGGAATATTTTTCCATTTCTTCATGCTTCTCCAATTTCTTTCAATAATGTCTTATAGTTTTCAGTGTATAGGTCTGTCACCTCTTTGGTTAAGTTTATTCCTAAATACTTTATTTTTGCTGTTGTTGTGATTTTAAATGGGATTGTAGTCTTGATTTCTCTTTCTGCTAGTTCATTGTTAGTGTATAGAAATGCAACTGATTTTTGTAAGTTGATTTTGTACCCTGCAACTTTTCTGTAGTTGTTGATTATTCCTAAGGTTTTCTTATGGATTCTTTGGGGTTTTCTATATATAGAATCATGTCATCTGCAAACAGTGAGAGTTTCACTTCTTCCTTTTCAAATTGGATTTCTTTTATTTCTTTTTCTTGCCTAATGGCTCTGACCAAAACCTCCAGTACCATGTTGAATAGGAGTGACGAGAGGGGGCACCCTTGTCTTGTTCCTGTTCTCAGAGGGATGGCTTTCAGTTTTTCACCATTAAGTATGATGTTGTCTGTGGATTTGTCATATATGGCCTTTATTTTGTTGAGGTACTTTCCTTCTATACCTCTTTTGTTGAGAGTTTTTATCATAAATGGATGTTGGATCTTGTCAAATGCTTTCTCTGCATCTCTTGAGATGATCATGTGGTTTTCATTTCTCATTCTGTTAATGTGGTATATAACATTGATTGATTTGCAAATATTGAACCATCCCTGTGAATCTGGAATAAACCCCACTTGATCATGGTGTATGATCCTTTTAATGAATTGCCGTATTCGGTTTGCCGATATTTTGTTGAGGATTTTTGCATCTATGTTCAGTAGCAATATTAGCCTATAATTTTCCTTCTTTGTGTTGTCCTTCTCTGGTTTTGGTATTAGGGTAATGTTGGCCTCATAGAATGAGTTAGGAGGCATTCCATCTTCTTCAAATTTTTGGAATAGTTTGAGAAGGATAGGTACTAAATCTTCTTTGAATGTTTGGTAGAATTCTCCAGAGAAGCCATCTGGTCCTGGACTTTTGTTTGTTGGGAGGTTTTGATTCCTGTTTCAATCTATTTACTTGTGATTGGTCTCTTCAGGTTCTCTATTTCTTCTTGATTCTGTCTTGGTAGGTTGTATGAGTCTAAGAATTTATCCATTTCTTCTAAGTTATCCAATTTGTTGATGCATAGTTTTCATAGCATTGTCTTATAATCCTTTGTATTTCTGCAGAGTCTGTTGTAATTTCTCCTCTTTCATTTCTAATTTTATTCTTAATTTTATTTGAGCCTTCTCTCTTTTTTTCTTGTTGAGCCTGGCCAAGGGTTTGTCAATTTTGTTTATCTTCTCAAAGAACCAACTCTTAGTTTCATTAATCTTTTCTACTGTCTTTTTAGTTTCTATTTCATTTATTGCCAATCTGGTTTTTATTATTTCCCTCCTTCTGCTGACTTTGGGTTTTGTTTGTTCTTCTTTTTCTAGTTCTGTTAGGTGCAGTTTAAGGTAACTTATTTGAGATTTTTCTTGTTTGTTGAGGTGGGCCTGTATTGCTATTAATTTCCGTCTTATGATCTCTTTTGCTGTATCCCATTGGAGGTAGTATGTTGTATTTTCATTTTCTTTTGTCTCCAGGTATTTTTTAATTGCTCCTTTGATTTCTTCATTGATCCAATGGTTATTCAGTAGAACATTGTTTAGTGTCCACATATTTCTGACTTTCACAGTTTTTTCTTGTAGTTGATTTCTAGTGTCATATCACTGTGGTCAGAAGAAATCCTTGGGACGATGTCAATCTTCTTAAATTTATTGAGGTTTACCTTGTTTCCAAACATATGATCTATCCTTGAGAATGATCCATGTGCACTTGAGAAGAATGCGTATTCTGCTGTTCCTAGATAGAATGCTCTGTGTATGTCTATGAAGTCCATCTGATCAAGTGATTCTTTTAAATCTACCATTTCCTTGTTCACTTTTTGTCTAGATAATCTGTCCATAGATGTAAGTGGGGTGTTGAGATGCCCTACTATTATTGTGTTGCTGTTAATTTGTCCCTTTTGGCCTGTTAATAGTTGCTTTATTTACTTTGGTGTCCCTGCGTTAGGTGCATATATATGAATATGTGTTATGTCCTCTTGGTGGAATGTCCCTTTTATCATTATATACTGCCCCTCTTTGTCTCTCATTGTCTTTTTTAACTTGAAGTCTGTTTTGTCTGATATAAGTATGGCAACACCTACTTTATTTTGTTTGCCATTAGCTTGGAGTATCGTCTTCCATCCCTTAACTCTGAGCCTATGTTTGTCTTTAGAGCTGGGATGTGTTTCCTGAAGGCAGCATATTGTTGGATCTTGTTTTTTAATCCATCCAGCTACTCTCTGTCTTTTGATTGGAGAGTTCAATCCATTTACATTTAGAGTGATTATTGATATATGAGGGCTTAATACTGTTATTTTATCTCTTGTTTTCTGGTTGATCTATTTTTCCATTGTTTCTCTTCCTTTGTATTTCTGACTGCCATTTCATTTTGGTGGTTTTCTGAGGATGTTTTCTCAGTTTTCTGTTTTTTGGGAATTGTGAGTCTGCTCTGATTTTTTGTTTAGTGGTTACCATGAGGTTTGTATTAAAGATCTCATAGATGAAATAGTCCATTTTCTCATAGCCTCTTATCTCCATTAACCTAAGAAGATTCCATCCCTTTCCTCTTCCCCGTCTGAGTTATTGTTGCTACAAATTATTCTGTCTTTAATGCAGTGAGTTTGTGACTAAGTTGAAGTATTTATAGTTACTTTTGATGCTTTCCTTCCCTTCATCATTAGGTTATAACTGAGTATTTGTTTCCCTGTTCTGATAGAGAGCTTCAGTTTTCTGATTTTCTCTGTATAATTATCTCCTTGCTCAAAGATTTGTAGTCCTTTGTCTTTTGGTTTGCAACGTGAGCACATCTTCAGTTATTTCTTGTACAGGAGGTCTAGTGGCAATGAATTCCCTCAGCTTTTATCTGGGAAAGCCTTTATTTCTCCATCGTTGAAGGAAAGTTTCACTGGATAGAGTATTCTTGGCTGAAAATTTTTGTCTTTCAGTGTTTTGAATATATCATTCCATTCTCTCCTAGCCTGTAGAGTTTCTGCTGAGAAATCCAGTGAAAACTTCATAGGGGCTCCTTTGTATGTTATTTTCTTTTGTTTAGCTGCCCTTAATATTTTTTCTTTGTCATTGACTTTTGCCAGTTTTACCGTTATATGCCTTGGGGAAGGTCATTTAGCCTTGATGTAATTAGGTGTTCTATTAGCTTCATGTATTTGTAAATCTGATTCCTTCTCCAGGTTTGGGAAGTTCTCAGCTATCATTTCTTTTAACAAGCTCTCTGCTCCTTTCTTCCACTCTTCTCCCTCCGGAATACCTATAATCCTTATATTGCTTTTCCTAATTGAATTGGGTATTTCTCAAAGAATCGCTTCATTTTTTTAATCTTATTTCTGTGTCCTCCTCCACTTGTAATATTTCTGTATTTTTATCCTCTAAATTGCTAATCCTTTATTCCATAACATCAGCTCTATTCTTTAAGGATTCTAGATTATTTTTTATTTCATTGATTATGTTTTTCAAATCCAGAATTTCTACTTGGTTCTTTTTTTTATAGTTTCAATCATTCCTGAGCTCACAGAATTATTTTTCTGTGTTCTTTTATAACTCATTGAGTTTCTTTATGACAGCCATTTTGAATTCTATGTCATCTAGATTGTAAATTTCTGTGCCTTCAGGGTTGGTTTCTGGAGAATTTTCATTTTCCTCCTGGTTTGAACTGTTGCTGTGGTTTTTCCTGGTGTTTGATGAACTAATCTTTTGTCAGGGCATTTGTGCTGGTATTAGGTGACAGATTCCACCTGCTACCACTAGGGAAAGCAGGAGCAGAGTTTCTGGCTGCACTCTGTCTGCTGGATGTTGTGTGGGTACTGCAGGTGCTTGCACCAGCAGCCTGGAGAGTGTTCAGGCACTTGTGTGGACTGTGCCTGGTGGATGGGGCTTCAGTCTGGACCCAGCCAGGGCCACTCCTTGGGGCCACAGGGGCATGGTGGGCTCCACCCCACCTGGAAAGTGATTACAAGTGGGTTATGGGAGGCCACCATCATTTTCTGCAGTCGCCCTGGGGCACACTGCCCCTTTCACTCAGCTGTACTGTGGGGACTAGCACAGGCCTAGAGTTTGCTTGCCCCAGCACACTTGGCTCTGCCAGAGACTCTGCTTGCAGACCCACAGGCTGCTGTGTTTCATGGGCAGGACTTCACATGGGGACCCAGCCAGGGCCTCTCCTTGCAGCCACAGGGGCACAGCGGGCTAAGGGTTGCCACTGCCTCTTCCTACTGTCAGCCTGGGGCACGTTCCCATTTTCAGATGTTCGTGCCAGGCTGGAAAGATAGCCTGTGTGTGCACAGGGCATCCAGGGGAGGGGAGGGAGTGCTCACCCATCTCCAACACTTCCCAGAGGGTCAGTCCATCCACCCTCAGATGCATAGCTGCATGTGTATCTCAGGCATCCTGTTGTGCTCTGTAGGCTTCTTCTGTTGGTCAATGAATGTCCATTGAGTTGTAGTTCAAAAAGGGGAGACACAAAGGGAACAGCTCACTTCGCCATGTTGGTGACATCACACCATTATTCTCCTATACAGTGTCTATTTTGTCTTGTTTTATATTACCATTTTTTCATCTTCAACATCTAGTAAGAGTCTGTCATTCATTACTTGCTCAAAATTCTCTGTCAATACTTGTTGCAGGAAGATGCCATGTCTATGTGGTGCTGCGGAGTCTTCATGTAGCCCTGAGTACCCCCAGGTTTGGAAAGGAGCCTTAGAATCATGGGAAGGAGGAACCTCTGAGCACGTGGAGGGGATGGCATCCCCATTTTCTCCTCTAAAGCTGTGTTTCCTTCTCCGCTAGGTGGTCAGGACAAGCCCTCCTTATCTGCCTGGCCAAGCCCTGTAGTTCTGCAAGGACAGCATGTGAATCTTCGGTGTCACTCCCATCTTGGGTTTGACAGATTCAGACTGGACAAGGATGATGGAGCCCACATCACTGAGCTCCGGGACCTAATATTCCAGAACAGCTTCCTCCTGGGCCCTGTGACCCCAGCACATGCGGGGACCTACAGATGTCATGGTTCTTACAGACACTCCCCCTCTGTGTGGTCAGCACCCAGTGACCCCCTGGTCATTGTGGTCACAGGTCAGAGAGCTCTTATCCAGAGTGGCTATTCACTGTCCCAATCTTCCTAAGTCCAGAATTTTCTTGTAGGAATGTCAGTCAGGCTCCAGTCAGAACTACAGGAACCACTCCAAGTATTTTAGGTAAAATAGGATTTAATACAGGGAATAGGGTACTGTGATGGACAGAATAACAACCACTAGATGATCTACATATTAATACTCCAAATTTACCAATATGTTATGTTGCAATCCAAGACCAATTAACATTGATGATGGAGTTAGGGTTGTTAATCAGGTGACCTTGAGATGGGGAGATCATCCTGGATTATCTGGGTGGGCTCGGGGTCATTACAAGTGTCCGTATAAGAGAACAAAGGAAGCAGGAGAGTGAGCATCAGAGTCATGCAGCATGAGATGACTCCACCAGACATTGCTGGCTTTGAGGTTGGAGGAAGGCAACGAGGCATTCAGGTTGCCCCTGTAAGCCATAAAATGTACAGGAATAAATTCACCCCTTGATCTTCCATAGGGAACACAGCCCTATAGACACCTTGATTTTAGCCCAGTGAGACCTGTGTTGGGTTTCTGACATCCAGAACTATAAGTAACCAATACAGATACCCAGGTGAAGGATAAATTAGGAAGCCCAACAGGGGAAGGGAGGCTACCTAAGCAATAGGTAAGGATAGGATGCTGATGCCACCACTAGATTGCAGTGACACAGGGAGAGGTCAGTGTTCATACAGCCAGCCTCAGAGGCCACTCTATGGAAGCTGGGACCATGAAGAAGGCACAGACATGACAGGAGATGTGCCCCTCCCCTCAAGGCACAGCTTGGCTGGACATTGGGAGGTACAGTGGTACCTACCTTACTGCTTAACTCTTACCTTCTACCAGGAATTTACAATTAATCAAAAACAGCATGGCTGGGCTCATAAGAGAGCCTGGACATGCATCCTGCAGTAGTCACTCTCCCACCCCCACCACAGAAAACAGGAAAGGGGTCTGCGGGAAATGGATACAACAGCAAAAGTGCCAAAGACAGCACAGTGGGAATGGAGTCTGGTGATGCGAGAGACAGAGAGACAGAGAAAAGGAGAGAGAGAGAGACAGAAGGGGTCATTCAGATAGAAAAGGACACAGAGAGGAAGGAGAAAGGCAGACATGAGAAGAAATCCTCACTCATTCCAAGTCCCATGGAATGGGGTGAGGAAGGGTGGCTCCTTCTAAACTCACAACATCTATGTTCTTAGGAGTCTACAGAAAACCTTCCATCTTGGCCCAGCCAGGTCCCCTGGTGCAATTGGGACGATATGTGACCCTGCAGTGTTGCTCAGAGATCGTGTTTGACAGCTTCATTCTGCACAGAGAGGGGGTAATGGAGAACCCCTTGCACATTATTGGACAGCCCCATGATGGGGGCTTCCATGCCAACTTCTCCGTGGGTCCCATGACAACTGCCTATGCAGGGACCTACAGATGCTTCGGTTCTATCAATTACTCCTCCCATGAGTGGTCGACCCCCAGTGACCCCCTGCACATCATGGTCACAGGTGAGAGTGTCCAGACCTGCCCGCTGTCCTCTTTGCGATGTAGATGGGATGTTCTAGGACTTGGAAGCTCCAAGTAGTGATGAAAGAGAAGAACATAGAGTTCTTACGAAAAGAGGCATACTTGGTGACAGCTATACCAAGAGAGACGATGTAAGAGGAGAAACAATATAGACCATTTGTTACAGCATAAAGGAAAGATATAGGGACAAAGACAGGAAAGTTAGAAATGGAGATAAAGAGTGAAGGGAGATATATGGACAGATATTCATGTATCAGAGGGAGGGTGACCTTCTGCTCTGAGTCTGTTCAGAGACCTGGGATGGTTTAGAAGCTTGGTTTCCATTTTAACTCCACAGTCTCTTCTCTAGTAGGAGAACCCAAAGGCACACCACATATCTGACCCACATTACAGGATCAGGCTGACCTGTCTCAGGCTGATTCCCCATGAATCCTGTGTCCTCTTCCCATGTGGCACTCATAGATGCTGTGTTTACTTTGACATGATTTATTCCATGTGGTGGAGCCATATTGTGCCCCAAGATACCATGGTCCTGGGTGAAGGAGCCAAACACCAATCCCTACATGTTCTGTTTCATGGGTTCCCAAAGTTGTTTCTCAGGCACATGTTCCAAGGTCTTCCCAGTTGTTGTAGGATCGCTGATGTCAAAAGACCACAGAAAGATGCAGTCAGAGAGAAAGCAGAGTCAACGAAGAGTAGAGACATAGAAATGCAGGTGCACATGCACATACACACACATACAGAATGGGCCAGAAGGATGGAAGAGAGACACAGACAGACACTGGCTCAGAGACACATAAAAAGAAAAAAAGAGGTGGAGAAAAAGATAAAAGGATAGACAATTAGAGAGAAAGATGGGAGAGGGAAGATAAAAGCCCTAAAAAGCAGAGACGTGAGTGGGAGGCACAAAAATAGAGAAAAATGGTGATGTGGAGGTGGATGATAAATTCCAAAAGAGAACTAGAGAGACAGAGAAGCAGAGAAAGTCATGGAGATGGAGAGAGAAAGAGAGCAAGAGAGAGATGCATAAAGATAGGGTCAAGATGGAAACTGAAAGACTCAGAATGAAAGGAAAAGATACATATCAAACCAACCAATCCAAGGAGAGGCAGAGAGAGTAAAAAATATATCAAAAGGAAAAAAAATAGGAGGGAGGCAAGGTCAGAGACATAGAGAAAGAAAGCAAGAGACAGAGAAAGTAGAAGGATAGAGAGAGACTTGAGGGGGAGAGAGAGAGAAGTCAGATAACAGAGATAGTGAATTCTCAGTTCAGGTCCTTCAGGTGTGGACACTGTGAGCAAGGAAGAGCCTCTCTAACTAAACTGTCTCTTTTTCTTCCAGGACTATACAAGAAACCTTCACTCTTAGCTGGGCTGAGCCCCGTGGTGAGGTTAGGGGAGAATGTGACCCTGTTCTGCAGCTCTGAGAGCTCATTTGATGTGTACCATCTATGCAGGGAGGGGGAGGCCCGTGAATGCTGGCTTGCTGGAGGACAGAGCCATAATGGCACATTCCAGGCCATCTTCCCTCTGGGCCCTGTGACACCAGCCCACAACAAGACCTATAGATGCTACGGCTCTTTAAATGTCTCTCCCTATGGGTGGTCAGACCCAAGTGATCCACTGCGCCTTTCTGTCACAGGTGAGGAAGCTCCAAGCCTGCCCCATGTCTCGTGACTCAGACTAAATTTTGAGGCCATATCTGAGAGGCATCCTGCTGATAATGAGGGGATGCTTAGGAATTCTGGAGAGAAAGAAGCACAGGTAAATGAAGAGGAAGGGAAAAAGAGACTGAGAATGCACCTCCAAGATCCTCCTTCATATCTTGCATGGACACCCACATGGCGAGGGGGTCTGTGTATCCAGGCAGATGAAGAAAGGGGTCAGGGCAGAGCTAGGAAGAGGAGCAGCCAGGCTTAGTTTGGGGAGATCAGAGGTTGCATCAGCCCCTCCCTATTATCCATTTCCCAGAAGCCCCTCCTGACCTTTCACCCTCAGAGTGATTTCTCAGGTGGTACAGATGCCTTTAATGCAAGGTATGAGACCTCTTCTTGAGTATAGGCATCTTTCATCATCAACTTCTCCTGTTCCATCTCTGAAACTTGAAGGGAGGAAGTAAAGTCCCCAGGGATATGGGAAGATCATCCCAGGACTCCCACAAGCTCAGCATTAGATGGCAAAGGAGTTTCAGTGGGGTAGAAGATGGGCAGCTTCATTTCCTCATCTCTTTCCTGTCCTGTTTTCTAGGAAACTCTTCAAGTAGTTGGCTTCTACCCATAGAACCAAGCTTAGACACTGGTGAGTAAAGGATCCCTCTCATATTTGTGGAAACCTGGAAGAGAGAAGCTTTGGGTTGGAGTGTTGACTCAGCAGCCTTCCAGCTCTCTGACCTTGGGCTTGTCACCTTCCCTCTCTGATCCCTAGACAGTATAACAGCAGAAGGGGTTTGGGTCAATGTAAGGATCAATGAGAACTCTTAAATCTCTCATTTTCTGCCACTGAGATAAGAATAAACCTGATCCCCTTCCCAGGAATAAAGCCATGCTTATTCTGTCCCCATTCCTAACTGGAGATGAAAATCATGGTGACTCGAGGGAGGGAATGTAAGGAAGCAGCTGGTAGGGGTGTCAGTTCTTAGAGAATTGAGTTCTTGTCTGTTAACATGCAACCCTGATGTACTAAGTAGAGCAAGAGTCTTGCAGCAAGAGAACTGAGTTCACCCACATATATGACTTCTTCATTAATTTATTCATCACTGTTCCATGTCCTGGATATGCAATGTGTGTGTTTATTTCCTGTTGCTGCTACAACAAATTTCCACAACTTAGTGGATTAAAACACCATCATATTTTAAACGATCTGACTGTTTTGGAGGTCAGAAGTCTGAAATGGGCCTCACTGGGCTAAAATCAAGTTGGCAGCTGGGCTGCATTCCTCCTGGAGGCTCTAGGGGACAACTCATTTCTTTGTCTTGTACAGCTTCTCGAGGCTGCCTACATTCCTTGGCCTGTTCTCCTCTTCCTCTATCTTCAAAACCAACAGTGGTTAGTCAAGTTTACCTCGCATCAAATCACTCTGGCCCTCCTTCCTTCATCACATCTCTTTCTCTGATTCTCTCATTCTACCTCTTTCTTTCTCTTTTAAGGACCCTTGTGATTACATTGGGCCCATCCAAATAATCCAGGATCATATCCCTATTTTAAAGTCAACTGATTATCAACCTTAATTGCATTTGCTACCTTAATTCCTCCTTGTCATGTAATATAACATAATCACACGTTATGGGGATTAGGACCTGGACATTTGGGGAAGGAGGATGAATTTTTCTGCCTACTACAAATAGTAAACAAGATGAATTTGGCCTCTGCTCTTGGAAAGGTGATGTTGTAGTATAGTTAAGTGGGAGGTCAGAGAATGAATGCACAAATGGATGAATGAATGATCAATTGCGAAACGTCTATGCATGAAATTTAAAACAAAGTGATAGACAATGTTTAGTGGACAATTTAGGATGAGAAGTAGAGAATCTCTCACTCATCAGGCAATATTTACTTTGTGACCTTAATCACAAGAAGTATTTAACTCATTGAAGACTGGTGGAAGACTATTCCAAGAGCTATCAGCCTTGAAGTTACCAAAGTGAGAACAATGTTATGTTCAAGGAAGAGTCCGTGCCTGTAATGCTGTGGGTGAGGTGGAGAGAATTACAAGATGAATGTAGAAAGATAGAGAAGACTCAGATTATATGATATAAGTAAGTAAACAGGAGACTGTGCTGTATGTTCACTGCCATTGGAAGTCATCTCAGGGTTTACTAGGAATCCATATATGATTAATAGTGACTTATCCAAAAAGAATGGATTGTAATGTGCGTAACTTGGAGCCAAGAGACCGTGTAGGAGACAGTTGCCACCTCCTGGGGCAGTATGGTGCTAACTGAGACACCAAATGAATGAATTTGATGGATATAAGATCTGCTGTTGAGGTAGAATCATTTGGAGAGAAGTTCTGCTGGGTCTTATTTTTCCTAGTTGCTTGATCTAGGGCTCATACATTACTTTCTGAGATTTATTTTCAAAAGACCTAAATCCATAATTGGCAGAGGAGAGGAAAATTATGGAGGGAGGTGCAAGCGAAGGCACGTATTATAATCATAATATATACCATAAAGATAAAGACACTTGCGTACAAATCATTATTCTACTTCTGTATGATTACCTCTTTGATCCTCTATTTTATCCACCATAAAATGAGGCTAAATATCTTCATTTTAAGGCTCTCGGGGAGAATGAGGTCAGATGGAAAGTGCGAAAGCATAACACACAAACACACACACACACACACGCATACAGAGCACAGGTGCTGGAACAGAGAAAGTGCTCTATGCATGGTATAGATCTTGCCCCCTTCCATTCCCATCACCCCAAAACCTCTGCTGTACCCCCACTTCCAATCATATGTGGAGATATAGATATATTCCTGGGAGGTGAGTACCAATATTGTTTTCAGTGAGTTCAGATATTAGACTCAGAGACAGGAGACAGCACTTCCTCCTGGTCAACTTTCCTCCTACTTCCCAAAAGGACTGGTTTTCTGGGGGCAGGGAATGGACAACAACAAAATGTGTTCAGCAACAGCTGGTAGAAAGGATTGTCTTTTCCGTCTGCCTCACTAGCAGAGCATCAACCTAATATATGCCTCATGAGACCACAGAGAGTAAACATCACATTCTGCAACCTTAAGCTCACACCTCTTGTTGGCATTTCCTGACTATATGACATAAGGCAACTCAACTTACTTTGACATTGCTTTCACTTTTTTCCTTTTATTGGAGAATTTAATTTGTTTGATTCAAGGGTGCTGTGGAAGTAGAGATGTTTATGAATTTATCCAACAGTCTATAAACAGGAGACACTCAGTAAAAGAGAGCTGTTATGATTTGCTTCTTATTGGAATCACTTCTTTCTCCAGGTAACTCCAAACACCTGCATGTTCTGATTGGGACCTTGGTGGCCATCATCTTCCTTGCTATCCTTCTTTTCTTCCTCATTCATCGCTGGTGCCCTGCCAAAAAGAGTAAGTCTTGGGAAGAAGATGCCAGTGCTATCTGGGCAAATTGGGGAGCTAGGATGACAGTTAGAAGGTGTGTGTTCCACACTTGCAGGCTGATGCCTGCTTCAAGGAAGGAGCCACAGAGATAGGGCTTTCTAGCGAGAACTTTGGTGCTCCTGCCCCTTCTCTCAGTTTGTATATCATTGCCTAATTCTCCAGTGTATCGTCACATCCAGTGCAGCCCATGATATCCAGGAGAAGAATCTATATAAGAGAGAAAGTAGGAGAGAGAATCAATGGGATGGAAATTGGGAACCTTTATTAGGATGGATCTTTGAACTTTAGAGAGGTGGAATTTCTGACTCTGCTTTTGGGCAGGTGAGAAATCTCAGGCATCCACTGCACCTCTCTGCATCTTGGTGTCTGTATATGAAATGAGGATCCATAAGTGCTATCCCAGGTGTTTAGATGACTACTATCCCCTACAGATGCTGCTCTAATGGACCAAGAGCCTGAGGCGGACAGAATGGTGAATAGAGAGGTAGGTCCTCTCAGCCCACCCTCTTCAATGCAGTCCCATTTCTTCCTAGTCCCCACAAATATGTGCACATCCTCACCCATCATTTCCCTTTTATGCAGGACCCTGAAGCAGAAGACTCACAGGAGGTGATATACGCACAGTTGGATCATTGGATTTTCACACAGAAAGGAGTCATCCCCACTTCCCCGAGGCCCAAGAAAGCCTCAACTGTTACCAGTGTGTACATGGAATTCGCAACAAGCTAAGACCAGATCAAGGATTGAATCCTATTCCCTGAACACACATAGAAAGACCTTGAGGAGGTCATCCATTGATGCCATAGCTTTTTCTCAAACTCAGCTTGACAGCTCCATTGTAGCAACAGCTGGAATCTGAAGACATAGGTCTTCATCTCTAGGGTCATCACTCTTCATCAGAGTGTCATATCTAAAATCTCAGGACCCCTTAGAAAACCCCCCAGCCATTCTAGGATGCTATTATGATGATCCAGCCATTTCTAAGATTGTCAACAAAATCACCTAAGCCTTCTAGAAATCCAACCATAATTGGACCACTTTCTCTGACATTCTACTGATGAGATTCTAGAAATTTTGATATATTTAGTCAATGAATTAATTCCTCCAACAAGTTTCTAGAGGCGGCACAGTATATCCTAAGACTTTAAGAAAATATTAGTAAAAAAAAACTCATATTCTTGTGGACCTTGGTCTAATGGGAGATGCCAACAGATCAAACTATTGAATTCTAGGAGAGAGGGGAATGCAGAGTCCCCTCCTTGCATGATATTTGGCCACTTTTGCTTGTGCCAATCTATCCAAGCAATTTCTGCACAACAAGAATCTGAGCATGGTTCTCTTTTGCTTACAAGTTTCTGTGGTCTCCCTTGTCTATTGGACAGAAACCAAACTGCCACGCTTAGCCCACAATTCTCTATTTCACTTGACCCTTGCCAGCCTCGACATCATAACTGCCTGTACTTTCCATTCCTATTTGAAGTTACAGCCATGCTGTGTAACTCATATATCCATAAATATAAGAGAATTGTTCTTTTTTCTTTAAAACCTAGCTTGAAATACTCAGTGCTGAAAAATTTATTCAAGTCTGAGTTCATGTCCCAACTTGAGCTCTAGAGGCCTAGAAATAAACAAATTTTAAATTTCCTGATAACCAAATATTCTTACTAGATGTCTTTAAGATAGTATGATGTTAGTGGAGAAACAAATTAGTTCATTCATGCAGCCAAATATTCCATCTTCAGTGAGTAACTGTGTCTTTTTTTTTTTTTGGTTAAGACTTTATTTTTAACAGTTTTAGGTTTACAACAAAATTGACAGGAAGGTACAGAGATTTCCTATGTACTCCCTGCCCCGACGCACACATAGCCTCCTCCATTATCAACATCACTCACTAAATGGTATAATTTTTACCAAGGATAAACCTACATTGACTCATCATAAGCACCCCAAGTCTATAGTTTACCTTGGGGTTTGTTCACTCTTGGAGTTGTACATGCTGTGGGTTTGGAAAAATGTACAATGATATTTACCGTGTCATACAGAGTATTTTCACTGCCCTTAAAATCCTCTGTGCTCTGCCTATTCATCTCCCCGCACCCCACCCCTGGCAACCATTGATCTTTTTATTCTCTCCATAGTTTTGCATTTTCAAGAATGTCATATAGTTGGACTCATACAGTGTGTACCCTTTTCAGATCAGCTTTTTTCACTTAGTAATATGCAATTGTTTCCTCCATGTCTTTTCTTTTTGTTTATTGCTGTAACTGGTTTATAACATTATATAAATTTCAGGTGTACATCATTATATTTCAATTCCTGTACAAATTACATCATGGTTACCACACAAAGACCAGTTACAATCCATCATCACACACATGTGCCTAATCATCCCTTTCACAGCCCACACCCTCCCCGCTTTCCCTCTGGTAACCACTAATGCAACCTCTATCTCTATGTGATTGTTTGTTGTTGCTTTTATCTTCTACTTATGAGTGAGATCATACAGTATTTGACTTTCTCCCTCTGAATTATTTTGCTTAGCATAATGCCCTTAGGTTATACATGTTGTCGCAAATGGCTGGATTTCATTGTTTCTTATGGCTGAATAGTATTCCACTGTGTTTATACACCACATCTTCATTATCCGTTCATCCCTTGATGGGCACCTAGATTCCTTCCAAGTCTTGCCTATTGTGAATAATGCTGCAATGAACATAAGGGTGCATGTATCTTTACACATTCATGTTTTGATGTTCTTTGGATAAATACCCAGCAGTGGAGTAACTGGATCGTATGGTAGTTCTATCCTTAATTTTTTGAGGACTCTCCGTACTGTTTTCCACAGTGGCTGCACCAGTTTGCACTCCCACCAGCAGTATATGAGAGTTCCCTTCACTCCACATCCTCTCCAACACTTGTTGTTTCCTGTCTGGTTAATTATAGCCATTCTGACAGGAGTGAAGTGATATCTCATTGTAGTTTTGATTTGCATTTCTCTGATAGTAAATGATGTTGAACATTTTTTCATGTGCCTGTTGGCCATCTCTATATCTTGTTTGGAGAAAAGTCTGTTCAGATCTTTTGCCCATTTTTAAATTAGGTTGTTAGTTTTTGTTGTTGAGATGTATGAGTTCTTTATGTATTTGGGAGATTAACTTCTTATCAGATATATGGTTTGCAAATATCTTCTCCCAATTGTTAGGTTGTCTTTTCATTTTGTTTATGGTTTCCTTTGCTGTGTAGAAGCTTTTTAGTTTTATGTAGTCCCATTTGTTTATTTTTCTATTGTTTCCCTTGCCTGTCAGACATGGTGCTTGAAAATATGTTGCTAAGACCAACGTCGAAGAGCATACTGCCTGTGTTTTTTTCTAGAAGTTTCATGGTTTCAGGTCTTACAGTCAAGCTTTTAATCTGTTTTGAGGTAATTTTTGTGTATAGTGTAAGATAACGATCTACTTTCATTTTTTTTCATATGGCTGTCCAGTTTTCCCAACACCATTTATTGAAGAGACTTTCCTTTCTCTATTGTATGTTCTTGGCTCCTTTGTCGAGCTTTAGCTGTCCATAGATGTGTGGGTTTATTTCTGGGCTTTTGATTCTATTCCATTGATCTGTGTGTCTGTTCTTGTGCCAGTACCATGCTGTTTTGGTTACTATAGATTTGTAGTATATTTTGAAATCAGGGAGTGTGATGCCTCCAGCTTTGTTCTTTTTTCTCAGGAGTCCTCTGACTATTCAGAGTCTTTTGTTGTTCCATATACATTTTAGGATTCTTTGTTCTATTTCTGTGAAAAATGTTGTTGGAACTTTGATAGGGATTGCACTGAATCTATAGATTGCTTTAGGAAGTACAGACATTTTAACTATGTTAATTCTTCCAATCCAAGAGCATGGAATATCTTTCCATTTCTTTGTGTCTTCTTCAATTTTTTTCAACGTTGTTTTATAGTTTTCAGTGTACAGATCTTTCACCTCTTTAGTTAAGCTTATCTGTAGGTATTTTATTCTTTTTGTTGTAGTTGTAAGTGGGATTGTATTCTTAATTTCTCTTTCTGCTACTTCATTGTGAGTGTATAGAAATGCAAGTGATTTTTTTATGTTGATTTTGTATCCTGCAACTTTGCCATACACATTTATTATTTCTGAAAGTCTTCTGGTGGATTCTTTAGGGTTTTCTATATATAAAATCATATAATCTGCAAATAGTGACAGTTTCACTTCTTGCTGTCCAATTTGGATCCCTTTTATTTCTTTTTGTTGCATGATTGCTCCGGCTAGGACTTCTAATACTATGTTAAATAGGAGTGGTGAGAGTGGGCATCCTTGTCTGGTTCCCGTTCTTAGAGGGATAGTTTTCAGTTTTTCACCATTGAGAATGATATTAGCTGTGGGTTTGTCATATATGGCCTTTATTAGGTTGAGGTACTTTCCTTCTATGTCCATTTTATTCAGAGTTTTTACCATAAATGGATGCTGTCAAATGCTTTCTCTGCATCTATTGAGATGATCATGTGATTTTTCTTCTTCATTTTGTTAATGTGGTGTATCACATTGATTGATCTGTGGGTGTTGAACCATCCCTGCATACCTGGAATAAATCCCACTTGATCATGTGTATGATCTTTTTAATGTATTGTTATATTCAATTACCTAATATGTTCCTGAGGATTTTTGCATTGATGTTCATCAGAGATATTGGCCTGTAGTTTTCTTTTTATGTGTTGTCCTTGTCTAGTTTTGGTATTGGGGTAATGTTGGCTTTGTAGAATGAGTCAGGAAGCTTCCCCTCCTCTTCAATTTTTTGGATGAATTTGAGAAGGATAGGTATTAAGTTTTCTTTGAATGTTTGGTAGAATTCACCAGGGAAGCCATCTGGTCCTGGACTTTTATTTTTTGGCAGATTTTTGATTACTGTTTTGATCTCCTTACTGGTGATTGGTATATTCAAATTCTCTATTTATTCTTGCTTCAGTTTTGGAAGGTTGTGAGGTTCTAAGAACTTATCCATTTCTTCTAGATTATCCAATTTATTGGATAGCTTTTCATAGACTTCTCTTATGATCTTTCGTATTTCTGAGATGTCTGTTGTAATTTCTCCTCTTTCATTTCTGATTTTATTTATTTGAGCCTTCTCTCTTTTTTTCTTGGTGAGTCTAGCTAAAGATTTGTCAATTTTCTTTATCTTTTCCAAGTACTAGCTCTTGGTTTCATTGATTTTTTTCTATTATTTTTCTAATCTCTATTTCATTTATTTCTGTTCTGATTTTTATTATTTTCCTCCTTCTACTAATTTGGGGTTTTGTTTGTTCTTCTTTTTCAGTTCCTTTAGGTGCACTCTTTGATTGTTTATTTGAGATTTTTCTTGTTTGTTGAGGTAGGGCTGTATTGCTATACACTTCCCTCTTAGAACCGCTCTTGCTGTATTTCATAAATTCTCTCATGTCTTATTTTCATTTTCATTTGTCTCCAGGTATTTTTTGATTTCTCCTTTGATTTGTTCACTGACACAATCATTGTTCAGTAGCATTTTGTTTAATCTCCACATACTTGTGGATTTTCTGATTTTCTTCCTGTAGTTGATTTCTAGTTTCACACCATTGTGGTCAGAAAAGATGCTTGTTAATATTTGAATCTTAAATTTATTGAGACTTGTTTTGTCACCTAATATGTGTTCATCCTGGAGAATATTCCATATGCTTTTGAAAATAATGTATATTGTGCAGTTTTTGGGTGGAATGTTCTGTATATATCTACTAAGTCCATCTGGTCTAAGGTTGTTTAAAGCTAATGTTTCCTTATTGGTCTTCTATTTGGATGATCTATCCATTGGTGTAAGTGGAGTGTTAAAGTCACCTACTATTATTGTGTTACTGTCTATTTCTCCTTTTATGTCTGTTAATAATTGCTTTATATATTTAGGTGCTCCTATGTTGGGTGCATAGATATTTACAAGTGTTATACCCTCTTGTTGGATTGTTCCCTTGATCATTATGTAATGCCCTTCTTTGTCTCTTGTTACAGTTTTTGTTTTAAAGTCTATTTTGTCTGATATGAGTACTGCTACCCC